TTGTTTCGCAATACAGATACTCAGGTTTTTAACTGATGGATGATTCCATCCAAAAATCACAAAAATTTTTCTGGAAGCTCTCGGTACTTGCGGTGGGGAGAGCCAGTTCTACCTGTTCCGAGATACTTCCAGGGTGAGGCTCAGAGAGTCGTATTTTTAACAAGCATCTCCAAGGAATTCTGAATCATACTAAGGACTGAGGAACACGAATTTAAGGTATCTCAAGGCTTTAGTAGAAAAGAAGAGGGCTCTTTTTCTGTGCTTTAAAATATTAATTTCTCTAGAATATCCCTTGTGGTATACTTTAAATCTACTTTTTTTATTTTCCCCCTTTTTTATTGAATGTATTGGGGTGACACTGGTTGACAAAATTATACAGGTTTCAGGTGCACAATTCTACAACACATCATCTGTACACTATGTTGTGTGTTCACCACCCCAAGTCTAGTCTCCGCCCATTACATTTATTGCCCCTATACGCTCTTCCTACTCCCTCCTTCCCCCTTCCCCAGGCAATGACCACACTGTTGTCTATGTCCATGAGTTTTCTCTCTTTTTTAAAATTTTTTGCTCAATCCCCCCAACCCCTACAGCTGTCAGCTTGTTTTATTTTATTGTAGTCATAGAGATTATAAGGACATTATTCTCACTTTATTATTTTTTTAGACCATCTTGACTCTATTCCCAATCATCTCTCATTTATTCTCATACACTTTGAAAGGAGATCATGTCATTACTCACTGTGACAGCAGGAATCTGGCCCCAGTAGTCCAGGTGATCTATGAGTGTACGTACAAGAAAAAGACAAAATGATCATGGTTTTATTCTCCTTGCTGGTGTAGATACCTAGGTTAGGGGATGTGCGTTCTATGATCCTAAAGGAAAGTATAGCAATGGTCTCAAAAGGATAAACCAAGCCCGCAAGTGGCTCATTGTAGATGTGATCAAGTACAGGACAGGCCAAAAAGAAGAAATGAAAATAATTCATTTCAACTTCTATGTCATTTACTAAATAAATGGCCTCTTATACTACAATTTGAAATATTTATTTAAAAATTGTTTTTAAATGACAGGAGAAGGGCTCGTAGAAAAGGTAACTTTAAAGAGGCAACAGAGCAATGAAATGGCTCACTTTGTTCCCTCCTCACAGTCACAGAACTTAATATTTTCACCACTAATAATGAACAACATAAACTGATGAACAAAAATAGATCCAGAGACATAGAAGCATCGAACAGACTGTCCAACCTCAGAGGGAAGGCAGGTGTGTGTGTGGGGGGGGGGGCGGAGGGGGTAGTAAGAGAGCAACCTAAGGACTTGTATGCAAGCATATACTAGTAAGCATAACCCATGAACACAGACAGTAGGGGGGTGAGACCATGTGCTGGGTGTTGGGAATGGCTGGGGAGAGGTCAATGAGGGGGAAAGGAGACATATGTAATACTTTAAACAATAAAGAATTTTAAAAAGCAACATTAATAAAATATATACATATATATATATTTTTTACCACTAGGTGCAAAAATAAATAACATCTCTTTATAATCCCATCATACACAAAACAAATGGCTGAGTTCAATCTGGTTTATTAAGAAACATTATGTAAGAGCCATTTAAGAATTCATTCTTCAGCCCTAGCTGGTTTGGCTCAGTGGATAGAGCATTGGCCTTTGGACTGAAGGGTCCCAGGTTCAATTCCAGTCAAGGGCACATGCCTGGGCTGGGGGCTCTATCCCCAGTAGGGGCTGTGCAGGAGGCAGCCAATCAATGATTCTCTCTCATTGTTGATGTTTCTATCTCTCCCTTTCCCTTCTTCTCTGTAGTTTTTTTAAAAAAAGAAGTCATTCTTTAAGCTAGAGTGCAAATGTCCTATAGCTTGAAGCTCTCAGAAATAATTGTGTTCCTTGAAACTCCATGAAAACTAAAAAGCTCTATAGCAAAGTCATGGCCTATATAAAACAAATTACATGTAGCATGGTTCAGAATAGCACATGGAGGGTAATGAATGATTTCATATTCAAACTTTGTTTTCAAAATATTTGTTTTTGAGCTACATATATTTAGAAAAAGGATTTGATTTCCTTCTTTACAAGTCCAACTATATTTCTTGATTCTGCAGAAAAGAATAGTGTTTTAATAGTACATAATTATAGTATTTTAAGTGTCCTTTATTGGATTTAGTTTTTTGACTCAACTTATATACAGAGCATAGACGACTTAATTATAGTTCCAAAACAGAAATGAAATGTTATAAACCTTCACAATGTATGAGTTATGAGATAGAAAGGGAAGAGAGGGTATGAAAGTATAAGAGTATACATCTTTTTTTTTATTATAAAGGTTTGAGAGATACTGTTTAAAGTTGAATGATCAAGAAAGTACTTTCTCTATAATTTAAGGTTATAAAATAAGCAGAACTACTTATAAGATGATATAAGCCTCTAACAAAACTTTGAGAAGAGAGAGATAGAGGTAGTGTTAATAGGCTCAATTCCTTATCTATATATATAAAAGCCAAGCAACTGGAATGACCAGTTGCTATGTTGCACACTGCGGTCAGCCCACCAGCCCGATTAGGGGCGGGGCCGGTGGGCCAACCTCCTGCAGCCCCTACCCCTGGCCGGCTGGACCCCACCAGTGCATGAATTCATGCACTGGGCCTCTAGTTTTTGATAAGGGAGAATCAATAGAAACATATGTGATAGATTGCATCATTGTTCCCAACTCTTTGCTCTCTCTCTGTAATTGTAATAGATTATACATTCACACTCATTGTCATATGATTTCTGCTATGCCTCCTGGTGGGGCCTATATCTGTAGTGTCATTCCTGCCCCCATTGATTCTGGACTTGGCTGTGTGAATTATTTTGAACAATGGAATGTGGGTGGAAGTGACAGAGGCTAGTTCTGAACAGAGGCTTCCAGAAGTATCATGTGTTTCTGTGGCTTCTCTTCAGCTATGGCCCTTTGCCATGGGGAGAACACACCCCAAATAATGATCACTTCTTTAGCCCAAGTCCAAAATGAGAAGACACATGGAGCCACACCTAGCCAAGTCAGCATCGAGGCAGCCAATGACTTGTGAGCTTGCAATATGTGTTTATTGTTATAAACACATATTGGGTGTTTTTTTATGGCAGCAAAATTGACAAACACATTCTCTAAAGTTGATAAATTAAAAACTGGAACTATAAGTATATTATTTAGAGTTAGGGAGATATCCACCAGGAGAGGTAAAGGTGACAACCACGAAACAGAGTTAGTTAAAGGTAGTTTTGGTGATATTCTTGGGGGAGAGAACTAAAGTTTTTGTTTCACACCTTCCTGTCCCATTTGACTCTTTTAATCATACGTATGTATTACTTTTATATTTAAATATACAAGTACAGTGCATTACCATCCAGGAGGTAATATAAGTCTTAAATACATAAAGCATTATAACAACAATATGATAAGGCAGCTAATTTGTGTTGGAAAATAAAATGCTACGGGTGATTAAATTATAGGAATTTAGAGGAAAAGATCAACCTGACTGAAGAGGTTGCGGTAGGTAGAGAAAATTACACTAGAACAGAAGCCTTAGGGCTTAAAATAGGTGGAGAAAAGTGGGCAAAGAAGAAACAAATAGCATAACAAGTAGGAGAGTGAAGTGGTGGTGTGGCTGGAGCAGAGAATTCTTACAGGTGAGCTGTGGACAAGAGGTCTGGGACTGGTGGAATGGGACTAGGTGTTTTAGGAAGACCAATATAACAGGGCTGTGTAGGACGGATTGCACTGGACAAAAACAGTCCTCAGAGCTAAAGCAGAAACTATCTCAAGGGTCATTTAGGCATGTGTTCTGGCATCTGCCAAGGTATTGCTATTAGTCAGGTGACTTCTCTTACCACATTCCTTGGGCCTAAGTTTATAAAAAGCAGCGTTTCGCTCCCTTACTAGAAATATGTAGAATCATTATTTCGGTAGACTGGTGCCCTGTAGGACTAGAAAGATATGACTTGAGGAAAGAAAAGGCTAAAAAAACATATTTCATAAATCTCTAAAAGCCACTGTTAGCTGGAAAAGACCTGCAGTCTTCTCCCTGCCCTGTGCTACTTAGAACGGTTTTATTGAGTCTCCCTAAAAGCCATCTAACGATAGCATTAATTTGTGTTCGCTCAGAGTTAAACTTTTGGTCAGATTACTCTATAGCATCTCTTTTGAACCAAGAACCTATCATCTCTCCAGTTCTCTTTATTTCAGGTCCATGCCATTTGATTTCCTTTTGAGTAATGACGGCCCAAATCTAACGCCCACCAAGACTTGCTTCCATTGTCCTGGAGTTTTGTACCTTAGATTTTCCTTCTGACTCCTGCTTTCCTTAAAATTACCAAAAAAAAAAAAAAAAAAATTGGTAGTGAAGACTTGTCTTTTATTTTCAGTTTCTTAGGTTCATTTCTGCCAACTACCTTCTTTGAAAACATATATATATATATATATAATATATATATATATATATATCATACAAAAAATATATATATATTATTGATTTCAGAGGGGAAGGGAATCATTGATTGGCAGCCTCCTGCACACCCCATCCTGGGGATGAGCTTGCAACCTGACCGGGAATCAAACCATGACCTCCTGGTTGAGCCACAACGACCAGGCTGCACACTACCTTTTCCATTCATTGGCCATGGTCTGAACTGTGTACGCTGAGCCTCATCAGCTCAAGGCCTGTTCACCTGCATTGCCTCAGGCCTGTTCTCCATTCTTGCTGCTTCAGACTCCAGTGTGTCTCTGATCTAGCAGTTCCCAGCATTCCCCCCATTTTTTCTATATGATAAACATCATAGCCCACATAAATGTTCAGAGTACATGTGTGAAATTTCCAAGGACCTGCGGTAGGTCTTCCTTTTCCTTTCTGTCTCAAGAAAACCTACTGGAATGCAAGAAACAGGGAGCGACATTTTTAAGGCATAATCTGCAATCTGATCTAATTTGTTTTTAAACTGTATTCGCAGCTTTCTGGTTCCAGACCAAGATGGAATCATGGATGGAGTACCCTTCAATTTTAAGAACGGCTAAAAGTTCTGGACATGGCGCATAAAGCAAATATAAGAAGACTCTGAAATGTGGAGAGAAGAAGGCAAGTGACTAAGGATCTTAGGATTGAGGAATGACAAGGCAACACGTTCCCTGAGCTTTCTTTTTGCCTCCTGGACTGAGTGTTGGAGAAGCTGGAAACTGGAAGCACCACGGGGACAGGTGTTTTTAAAAAAATCTCCAGGGTGGTGAGCACACAATACAGTGTATGATGGTGTATTAAGCACCTGGAACCTGTATAACTTGTTAACCAGTGTCACCCCAATAACTCAATAAAAAGAAAAGAATAAAATAAAAAGGAAAAAAAGTCCCCAAGAAAGGCTTGCTTTCTAGAGCCAAAGGGTTGGGAAAGAGGTTCCTAGAAAACTTTTATTTAAAAAATTTTTTTTAAAAAATATATTTTCAGAGACAGGAAGGGAGAGGGAGAAATAGTCAGAAACATCAATGATGAGAGAGAATCACCAATCAGCTGCCTTCTGCACATCTCATGCTGGGCATCGGGCCCACAACCCAGGCATGTGCCTTGACTGGGAATCAACCCTGACCTCCTGGTTCCTAGGTAGGTGCTCAACCACTGAGCCACACCGGCCATGGGGCTTTTAGATATAACTGTCCTGTATAGCACTACAGCTATTAGTGACCATTACCTGCCCACCCCTCACAAATGCCTACAATGTACTGCTCTTATCACTAGATCCCAAGCAAAGTACCTTCCTGTTTTTGATCCACCTTCAGCCCCCAGCCCAAGGATATACCCTCCCTATGTTGATATACCCTCCATGCCTGACCTTACCCATGATCACCACCCAATGGATGAGTGGACCAAGTGCCTGCCTCCCTTCAATTTGCCTCTCTTGCTGCTGGGTGTTAGAGCAGTGCCGTGGTCACGACAATGATGTTGTGTTGTGGGCAGGAGAGCTGGGAGAGGCGGAAGGGCACCCAGGTTTCTGAGGCTTCTGTCACAAGGCAGGGCTGTCAGGTCTTAGGTTGGCAAAAGCAAAAACAAGGAGTAAAAAAATCACATAATAATAGCGTCTATGCGTTCTGCATGATGACCACCTGCTTCATGGCATCTGACTCCTATGTGGGTTTGTGTTTGCCTGTCCCTCTTTCAATGTCACCTTCTTCTGTTCTTCCTCATCTGGTTGGCATGTTTGACCCACAGTTCTGCGTAACAGATCCCTTCTCTCCTCCTCCTGCCTACCAGGTGGGTTAATTATTCTTGGGCAGTTTACCCTGCTCTGGGCAATCTCCCACATCCCCCATTATAACCAACCAAGCCAAGGCACTATTCTCTTGCTTTCTAGCTAAGTGGGGACAAACAACCAGTTCTTATTCACAGGGTAGAAGAATATTAGTATTACTCAGATAACCAGCATTTTATTTTATTTTATTTTATTTTATTTTATTTTATTTTATTTTTTTATTGCTTAAAGTATTACAAAGGGTATTACATATGTGTCCATTTTATCCCCCCGCCCTAGACAGTCCCCTAGCCTCCCCTATCCCCCAATGTCTTATGTCCACTGGTTATGCTTATATGCATGCATACAAGTCCTTTAGTTGATCTCTTACCCCCCTACCTCCTGCCCCGCAACCCTCCCCGGCCTTCCCGCTGTAGTTTGACAATCTGTTTGAGGCAGCTCTGCCTCTGTATCTATTATTGTTCAAAAGTTTATAATGGTCTCTATTATCCATGAATGAGTGAGATCATGTGGTATTTTTCCTTCATTGACTGGCTTATTTCACTTAGCATAATGCTCTCCAGTTCCATCCATGACGTTGCAAATGGTAAGAGTTCCTTCCTTTTTAGAGCAGCATAGTATTCCATCGTGTAGATGTACCACAGTTTTCTAATCCATTCATCTACTGATGGGCACTTGGGCTGTTTCCAGATCTTAGCTATGGTGAATTGTGTTGCTATGAACATAGGGGTGCATATATCCTTTCTGATTGGTGTTTCTGGTTTCTTGGGATATATTCCTAGAAGTGGGATCACAGGGTCAAATGGGAGTTCCATTTTCAGTTTTTTAAGGAAACTCCATACTGTCTTCCATAGTGGCTGCACCAGTCTGCATTCCCACCAGCAGTGCACAAGTGTTCCTTTTTCTCCACATCCTCTCCAGCACTTGTCATTTGTTGATTTGTTGATGATAGCCAGTCTGACAGGTGTGAGATGGTACCTCATTGTTGTTTTGATTTGCATCTCTCGGATGATTAGTGACTTTGAGCATGTTTTCATATGTCTCTTGGCTTTCTGAATGTCCTCTTTTGAAAGGTGTCTATTTAGGTCCTTTGCCCATTTTTTGATTGGATTGTTTATCTTCCTTTTGTTAAGTTGTATGAGTTCCCTATAAATTTTGGAGATTAGGCCCTTATCAGATATGACATTGGCAAATATGTTTTCCCACACAGTGGGTTTTCTCGTTGTTTTGTTGATGGTTTCTTTTGCTGTGCAGAAGCTTTTTATTTTGATGTAGTCCCATTTGTTCATTTTCTCTTTCGTTTCAAGTGCCCTAGGGGCTGTATCAGTGAAGAAATTGCTTCGGCATATGTCTGAGATTTTGTTGCCTTTGGATTCTTCTAGAATTTTTATGGTTTCCTGTCGTACATTTAAGTCCTTTATCCATTTTGAGTTTATTTTTGTGTATGGTGTAAGTTGGTGGTCTAGTTTCATTTTATTGCATATATCTGTCCAATTTTCCCAACACCATTTATTGAAGAGACTATCTTGGCTCCATTGTATGTTCTTGCCTCCTTTGTCAAATATTAATTGAGCATATTGGTTCGGGCCGATTTCTGGGCTCTCTATTCTATTCCATTGATCTATATGCCTATTCTTGTGCCAGTACCAGGCAGTTTTGAGAACAGTGGCTTTGTAATACATCCTGATATCTGGTATTGAGATCCCACCTACTTTGGTCTTTTTCAGGATTGCTGCAGCTATTCGGGGTCTTTTTTTATTCCAGATGAATTTTTGGAGAGTTCGTTCTAGATCTCTGAAGTATGCCGTTGGTATTTTAATGGGAAGTGCGTTGAATTTATAGATTGCTTTGGGTAGTATGGACATTTTAATGATGTTGATTCTACCAATCCATGAACACGGTATGTTCTTCCATCTGTTTATGTCTTCCTCTATATCTTTTTTCAACGTCCTGTAGTTTTCTGAGTAGAGGTCTTTTACCTCTTTAGTTAAGTTTATTCCTAGGTAGCTTAATTTTTTTGGTGCGATGGTAAACGGGATTGTTTTTATAATCTCTCTTTCTGAAAGTTCACTATTGGTGTATAGAAATGCCTCGGATTTCTTGGGGTTAATTTTGTATCCTGCTACATTGCCAAATTCATGTATTAAGTCCAGTAGCTTTTTGATGGAGTCTCTAGGGTTTTGTATGTATAATATCATGTCGTCTGCAAATAAGGACAGTTTTACTTCCTCTTTTCCAATTTGGATGCCTTTTATTTCTTCTTCTTGCCGAATTGCAATGGCTAACACTTCCAGTACTATGTTGAACAGGAGTGGTGAGAGGGGGCATCCCTGTCTTGTTCCTGTTCTTAGGGGAAATGGTGTTAGTTTTTGTCCATTGAGTATGATGTTGGCTGTGGGCCTGTCATATATGGCTTTTATTATGTTGAGGTATGATCCTTCTACTCCCACCTTGCTGAGAGCTTTTATCAAAAATGGGTGTTGAATTTTGTCAAATGCTTTTTCTGCATCAATTGATATGACCATGTGGTTTTTTTCTTCCAATTTGTTTATGTGATGTATCACGTTTATTGATTTGCGGATATTGTACCATCCTTGCATCCCTGGGATAAATCCTACTTGGTCATGGTGTATGATCTTTCTGATGTACTGCTGGATCCGATTTGCTAAGATTTTGTTGAGGATTTTGGCATCTATGTTCATGAGGGATATTGGCCTGTAATTCTCTTTCATTGTGTTGTCTTTACCTGGTTTTGGTATTAGGGTGATGCTGGCTTCATAGAATGAGCTTGGAAGTGTTCCTTCCTCTTGAATTTTTTGTAGTAGTCTGAGGAGGATAGGTTTTAGTTCTTCCTTGAATGTTTGGTAAAACTCCCCTGTGAAGCCGTCTGGTCCTGGGCTTTTGTTTGCTGGAGGCTTTTTGATGACTGCTTCAATTTCTTCCATAGTTATTGGCCTGTTGAGATTTTTAGATTCTTCCTGATTGAATTTTGGAATGTTGTATTTTTCTAGGAATTTGTCCATTTCCTCCAGGTTGTCTAGTTTGTTGGAGTAGAGCTGTCCATAGTATTTTTTAACAATCATTTGTATTTCTGTGGGGTCTGTTGTTATTTCGCCTCTATTGTTTCTGATTTTGTTTATTTGGGTCCTCTCTCTTTGCTTCTTGGTGAATCTGGCTAGAGGTTTGTCAATCTTGTTTATCCTTTCAAAGAACCAGCTCTTGGTTTCATTGATTTTCTGTATTGTTTTTTTTGGTCTCTATGTCATTTATTTCTGCTCTAATCTTTATTATCTCCTTCCTTCTGCTCACTCTGGGGTTTTCTTGTTGCTCTCTTTCTAATTCTTTGAGTTGTAGAGTTAGATGATTTACTACCATTTTTTCTTGTTTTTTGAGATAGGCCTGTAGAGCTATAAACTTCCCTCTCAGGACTGCTTTCATTGTGTCCCATAGGTTTTGGATTGTTGTGTTTTCATTGTCATTAGTTTCCAGGATGTTTCGAATTTCTTCTTTGATTTCATTGGTAACCCAATCAATATTTAATAGCATGCTATTCAGCTTCCAGGTGTTTGAGTATTTTGGGTTGTTTTTATTGTAGTTTATTTCTAATATTATGCCATCGTGGTCTGCGAAGATGCTTTTTATGATTTCAATTTTCTTGAATTTGGGGATACTTTGCTTGTGACCCAATATATGGTCTATTTTTGAATATGTCTTATGAGCATTTGAGTAGAATGTATATTCCCTGGCTTTCGGGTGAAGTGTTCTGAAGATGTCTATTAAGTCCATCTGATCTAGTGAGTCATTTAGGATTGCTGTATCTTTGCTGATTATTTGTCTAGAGGACTTATCCAGTGCTGTCAGTGGTGTATTAAAGTCCCCTACTATGATTGTATTGTTGTCGATCTCTCCTTTGATATCTTCCAGGAGTTTTTTTATGAATTTGGGTGCTCCTGCATTGGGCGCATATATGTTTACTAGGGTTATATCTTCTTGTTGTATTGATCCCTTTAGTATTATGAAGTGGCCTTCCTTATCTCTTGTTATGGCCTTCACTTTGAGGTCTATTTT